ACCCCCCACAACAATATCTACCAGACCTCCACTATGATACCCCCAAAAAAAAAACAGAGAAAAAAAAAAAACGATAACCTGTTTCCCGAGTCCCCAAAGCAACCAGCCACGTAAAACAACGTCGTAGCCAAGCGAAAAAAACCCAACCCCAATGGCAAAACACCGGGGGCGGCGGCTTGTTTTACAACGTCGTTGCCAAGCGACGAAAAACCCAACCCCGATGGCAGAACACCGGGGGGGGGCGAGCGGGGGGGGGTTCAGGCGGGTCACACGATCACGTGTGTACGGAGTAGTGGTGGACAGGCATCTCAGCGTAGGTCCGGGAAACGAATTGTCGTTGCTGTTCGTCCCGTCTTCTTGCCCGATTTTTCTGCCCCTGTTTCTATAGCTTCCCCTAACCCACAAGCGGCAACTTGGAGCATGAACCGTCAGGCTGCACAACGACGAGCGGGTAATCGACACCAACCGCCCTCGGTGCAACCGTTTCGCAACGAACGTTCGCTTTCAATTGGTGACAGGTCATCATCACCACATCGTTGTTTCGTGCCACACCTGATCGTTAAACACACCGCCGTCGGAAACGCTGTTCTTCTTGCTCCGCCTCTCGCTGTGCATCTGCTGGCCGACCTCCTTGAGAGTCCTTGAGCCCGCCGGTATCGACAAGACCAGGCTCCGCTCCGTCTCGAAGGCGCACACCAGGCCGACGCTCAGCGGCTCCCTACCACCGACCCGGCCTTCTTCCTGGCAGAGAGAGGTTCGTGGTAGTCATACGCACAGTCTACCTCAACTCTGTAAGGGGTTGCACGTTCAGTTACCCAAATTTTTGTCGTTGTCGGGCTCTGATAGCCAAAAGTTCCCCCCAGACTACCGACGAGGGAATTCCCGAAGTATACTTTCTTTGTGTTGGACATGTCCCAACTCTTTGAAAAAAATGACTGTGTAAGTGGGTTTCTGGTCGAGATACAGGGGGCTCCCAAAAGAAGATACCGTGGTAGGGCTCTAGTAGTGGTGTAGGTGGAGTTGGGATTCCATGTTCACAGGTAGAAAACTCGTGGTCGAGCAAAAGAGAAGTCCGGACTGCACAACGTCCCCAAAAATGACTAAGCAGTGCTTTGGGGGCAGTTGTCCTTCTTCGCAAGAAAAGACGGCCGAAGCGAGGTATCGTAATCAAGTCGCCCAAGATCGACTCAGCCCCGCTGACCTGGAGGTACTTGAGCACCCCCCACTCCCGGATGAACGCCTCCCAGCCCGTCGCGTCGCGCTTCCCGTCGGCCAGGACCTTCACCACCACCGCCGTCCCGCTACCAGACAGGCGGGGCTTGGCCCACCACAGCTCGCTGTCGTCGAGGGGGGACGTCGTCCAAGGACGCAGCAACCGGTATCTGGAGAGCGGCGCAGAAGGAGAAAATAAAGGGTTGTTCGAAATGATGGGAACGGCGACGGGCTGGTCTGCGAGCGCACTCTCTGCTGCACCCTCCCGAACGAAACGTACGTGGCTGCATGCTGTTAGATGTACAGCATGCCCATTGAGCTGTAAGTCAGCGCTGACTTGTAGCATAGTGGATGTGCTGTACATCTAGCAATGGTACATGCATCGTGGATACGATGTACACCTACAATACTTGCAGGTGGCGAGATGCCGCACAAGTGCTCTGAATGGCGCGGGAGGACTTGGGGGAGGAAAAGCCGCGGGGAAAGAACCACACACTACCTGACCTGTCCGACACGATCCTGTTCCACAACCGTCCTCCCTCCCCCTCGTCCTCCTGCCGCCCTCCTCTCCGCGGCGGAGGCCGCGAACCCGTTCCTAACCCCCCCAACCCCCCCATGAACTCCCCGCGGTACCACCGCCGGGGATCGCACTTCAGGCACGAACGACCGCCGTACGGGCCGGCCGTCGAGGGTCTCCGCTGATGATGACCTCGGGCCGGTGACGAAGGGGAAGACGGTTCTGTGCTGCTCTGGGCGGCCGGGAGCGCGGCGGGGCTGGAGCACGGACGGCCGTCTCGGTCCCACCTCAACGGTGAATTTCGGACCTTAGGGAAAAGAGACAGAAAAAAAACAGGCGGGTAGAACGAAGGCCGGTGTTGTCGTCGTCGTCGGCCGAATTGCTCGGAGAGGTGGGTGTACGATTGGTACGCGCGGGCCGGGGTGCACACGCCAATCCAAACCAGGGGTGTGTGGATAGAAGAACACGCCGCGGTGGCCTACCGGATGGGGGGGGGGGCGGTTAGGGTAGAGACAAGGTATGGTGGGTAGAGCGAAGACGGCTGTTGCCGTCGGTGGCCGATTCACTCAGAGAGGGCGGGTGCACGATTGGTCCGCGTGGGCCGGGGTGCACACATCAGTCTAAACCAGGGTGGCTCGATCGGCTCACTCTCTCTTTGCTCTCCAG